ATACAAGGGGGACGGAACGATAGAAAGCTGCAGACAGATAGAAGATGATTTTCTCTAGACTTATACTTATACTGCATGCAGTGGTGTTGCAGGTTATATAGTGTGTAGTTTAGGGTTTAGGGTTTAGGGTTTAGGGTTTAGGGTTTAGGGAAAAATAAAGTATATGAGCTGAAGCTGCTGCCGCGTCGCGCGTCGTTCAGTAGCTGTGATGGTGGAGTTAAATGTTTTTTGAACTCAAATATATTTTTAGAGAAAGAGGAAACAAAGAGGAGCAGAGAAAGCTCTCTCTTTTGTTTAATTTGTTTCATCGTGACACACATGCTTGACGCACGCTGTGGCCCTTCAGGGGAGGCGTTGTCGCTGTACATACACCGCGATACGCTGCATTTCGAGGTTTTATTACATCCTTTAGGAGGAAAAACAAAAAGCTGACATATATTTTATTTCGTTTCATTTGTCTAGGGTTTAGGGTTTAGGGTTTAGGGTTTAGGGTTTAGGGTTTAGGGTTGGCACTCAAGCGGATCTGTACACATCATGAATTCTATCTACTACTGGGAGACAGCGTGAGAATGCGTTGTATTTATCATCAGAAAGAAGTAGAATAGGATTTAAATGGTCTGAATAACTCGTAGACAAAGAGGATTTAAAATAGAAAGTAGGTGCGTATACACCTGGAGAACTTCTGTGCTTCAGCAGTTTCAGGTGTACTTATTTCGTCTTGTATTTTCTCCTCTTTATTCCCCAATTCTTCCCAAATCTATATATATATATATATATGTCCATATATAAGGATACATAAATAGGTATATGTAGCTAACTATATATATGCATTATACAGATATATTTTTATGAGCCGCTAATTTTCAACAGTTGCTCGTCTGGCAGCTCGCCCCAAACCCTAAACCCTAAACCCTATATTTGACTAGCTAAGCTGAAATAACCCCAGGAGTGGCGGTACTGAGGGTTGTTGTTCTTCTAACGGAAAGGGTTTATATAGCTGCAGTTTCTGTTCTCCAGCTACAAGAGGAACATAGTAAAATGTAGCTTTCAGTGTATACTCTACTGGGCCCAGCACTAAGAATCAATGAAACTGGTGTATAATACATTTAAAAATACATTTACAAGGGAATATGAAGATGAATCCACGAAGGTTCAGTCTGGGTGTGTTGCTGCGCCACCTGGTCGTGTTCAGAAAGCGCTAGACTGGGTGCGAACACCAGCTGCATCCGCCGGTGTATTTCATGAAAATTCAGTGGGAATACGAACGAAAACGATAAAATATGAGTTAATTAATATATATAATA